ATTCGTAAGTAGAGGCACCACTGTACTTTGGATATCAGAGTTGTTCCTTATATATTTGAGGTGAGACCCAGTGCAAAGTTAGCTAAATGCTACATCTGTCACTCTGATACTTCATTATATCAAGAGTCAGCAATCTCTGGGCCACCAGCAACCCTTGTGTCCCCTTTGGGGACCACTGGAACCACCTTTGGTCACAGCTGCTAAAAAATGAGGGCACCATTTTGAAATGAGGAACACCTGTATATTTTAGGTATGCCCTAAATTAGTCATAACACCAGTTAAAAACAAAGATTGCCACTCCTCAAGCTCCCTGAAACGCTCTGTCTCACTCACATGTGCGAACTGGTTTCACACACTTGGATCTCCACCCACCCAAACATGGTTCCCCTTGCATTCTATTAATATTTGCAAACTGCTTCATCAAACTTCAGGTTCAACGCATCATTTAAGATCAGATGAATAACATAGTATGTTGACCAGAAGATGAATAAATTTCAAAGAAAATGTGGAAGCATCAGCTTGGTTTATAGGGTTACAACGATCATTTGATGAGACACTTCATGCTATTGTAATAAATGCTGAGATTATGACTCCGTAATATTCTTTATCAAGGCAATACACAGACATATAAGCAAGAAGAGGATACAAGCTTTGTTTCTGTGACTTCTGTCCTTGATGAAACGTGGCGTTTCTGCTGGCGCAGTATCTCATATCTACGCAAGCTAACGCTTTTACTTAATTTCTGATCAACATCTGGCAGGTATTCACAAGATGCCTGTCAATGCTACAGCACCTATCCAACCAAGCCATTCAGCAATTTTAAGCAAAGTTCAAGCTAACTCTTCAAATAAATCCTCTCTAGCTCCAACGTTGGACCTCTGCTGCCTAAAGGTGACACTTACCCTTTTCTGCTCCTTGAGGTATTCCATCAGTTCTTCCCTTGTTTGCTTTACAGCTTCTTCTACAGCTTTCTCACTTTTCCTTTGTTCTTCTAGGATTGCTGCTTTTACCATTTCCTAATATTTTAATATATATTTTAAAAAAAGAATAGTTAGGATAAGAGTGTACTTATTTTGCTTCAAATTCTTCAGCACCGCACAGGCTACATACATTTTTTTATCTCCCCATGAACACTTACTTCAACACAGGGCTACTTCAGACAGTAATGTTTAGAACCACTCTATGCCTTCCTCCTTCGGGGCCCTCAATCTAGAACATTAGAATTTTTTTAAACGGATGGTTCCTTAAAATGTTAAATCCAACAAACTCTTACTGGGAGTAACTTGAGGAAAGGTTGTTAAAAGGAAAAAAAGCCCTCCTCAAAAAGCTCTCCACCTTTTTATAAATAGGGTATTCTGCAAACAGAAGCATTCGCAGAGGGGGCAAATGATGTTGGGCATGCTGGAAGGTCTTTTGGGTGATGATGACCATCATGGCTGGTAATGGACATCCATGCATGGAACTGCTCCTACTGAGGACTTGGGACATCACAGATGGGTGTTCTGAGACCTACTTGCATCATTCTTGCCTTTGAGAGTCTTAACGAAGCCACTGCCATTGCAAGAAAAGAGACTAACAGGAGAGTAAGCTATACAGAAGCCTGGAGATCAGTTTGCAGAGTGTAAATGGAATTGTCTTTAAGAATCATGTATGCAAGGAGAGTACTCCCCTTAAAGAAAAACCATGGACTGGACACCACCGCCCAGAAGATTGAATGAAGAAAACGCAGTTGTGGTGAACCATCATGCAACACCTATCAGTGTTTGTACAGATACTGAGCTTATTCTAATTCCAGTAATCACTGGGATTTCTTGACCATTATTACCACAAGAATAAAGAATCTTTATTCCCTGATCATGCATATATTGATTATTTCTTAAATGCAATGTAAGCATTTTACAGGATGAATGGGAAAATTCACAAGAACAGACAAGAGTGAGGTCATAAGGCTTCAAACAAAAGAAATGTATGAAGAAATGGGATCAGCTGGAAAGCTGAAAATCTAGGGTCTAAGCTGCAAAGAAGGAGCAAACACGAACACAGAGATCTCTAGGAGAATGGCTTAATTTCTGCAAGCTAAACAATTTACTGAAAGGCTTATGATAGAAGGAACAGCTGCAGGAATGCCAAGGGGAGCCAAGCTGATCAACCTCAGGGAGGCCTCCCCGAAGCCCTGACTTCTGAAGAGCACCACCAGGCCTTGAGGGGAGGCCTGCTCTGCTGAAGAACCCTTGTCTGAGAGGATCGACCTGAACAATCAGGCTTGAAAGCAGCTGAGAGAAACACTTTGCCAACTGTCTTCATGCCCACAGAGTGTTACAGCAGCTGCATCTTTACAAGGCCCATGTTGCAGTCTGCACATGTGTGTTCACGTACACTCCCTTGGCTTTGCTCACAGCCCCTGGGGGAACAGACAACGAGGGACAAACTGTGAAGAAGCAGCACCACCAGCCTTCCAAAGGATACTTGAGGATGTTCTCTCAGACAGGGCCTGTTCAATAATGGCACCAAAATTTCCCGGGGAAACTGCTCCACCCCTTCTGTCAGTGTTCAGAAGAAAGAAAGGGGTGTGCTTTCAGATACTCTGAATTTGTTGCTTTATTCGTTCGTTTCCCCCAGTTGCTTACATTTGGATGTATTATTTGTGAGCTCTTGGTAGATCCTTCTTCTTCAAAAAATAAGCTATAAAAACAATCCCAAATATATTTTCTGAGAAGTTCCACTGGTCTAAATATAACTGCAAATCTACTTTCCTTTTTAGAGAACATTGTTTTTCCTTCTTTCAGCATTGCTGAATTAGGATGTAGATTTTTTTCAACATCCACACCGTATGTTACTATAATTTTAGACCATACAGATGGAGTAAACCTTCAATATATACAAACAATAAGAACGTGGATTACAGCTGCCGGGCACACACTGTATTCTTTTCAGGGAGTAGCACACAAATGGTTTGAATTAAAAATAATCAAGTTGAAGGAAGAATCCACAAATGATTTATTCCAACAGTGCAAAAAATTGGCCTTTGAATTTAAAGGTCCATGTCAAATCTAAGCAAGATGCTAAAAATAGAAGAGGAACAGTGGAACTTCACCAGCAGCTCATCCTGGTTACGCAGCAGGAAAAGGCCACAGCAAGGACTTTTCTGTACCTGGAATAAAGATCATGAAACAGCAAAGGAAACACCAACATATTGCTGTAATCGGAACTCTTCTCATTTTAGGAAGTCAAGTTTCTTTCAAGTTGATTACATTCCAGAAAGACTAAGGAGACTATCAAAGGCTTTCCCTTGCATAAAATAGGGTTCTTTTTATAATTTGCTCTGATCCACCTGGATAACATATGTTTCAAATGGAAATCACAGCAGAGGAAACAAACCGTCTTTTGGATTCACTTATACCATACATCTGCTGCAGATACAACGCTCAAAAACGTTCCACGCTCCCGTGGAAGGCCTAATATAATTTATCTTTGTCGTCTGTATTTCTCCCCAAGGAATATTTTCAATTTATTAAGTTAGCTAGCAAATCTGGATTTACCTAATAGGGAAGATATCTTTAGAGAAAATAAGGTGTCTTTTTTGTTTCAACAGGGAAAAGATTATCGACCCAGGAGTTTTAAGAGTTGATATGATTTCATAAGTTTATCATTATACAGGTTGGCTTTGTTAGATGTAACAATAAACTATGGTTAATCATAGCCATGCCATTCCTCTATCTATTCTTCTCTGTCATAATTGAGAGAACTCTGTCCATAGGTTTTTGTTTCCATTCTAGATGAACAACAATTAAAGGTTACGTCCAAATCTAGATAAAAGTGGCTAGCCTTTCTTACGGTGATCTGAAATAAACCAAATTCAAATCATTGTTATTACCGTTCCCAAGACTAGCAATAACTTTTTCAATCTGCTTGGGATAAAGGGAACAGTTGTGCATTGTCTCCTCCAAGCGAAAGAGCTAGATAATTTAGGGGCATGACATTCTACAGGGCTATATTCAAATGGTTAAGACATAAATTAAGGAGTGAATGCAGGATTGTCTAATTCCTCTAATAGGAGGAATGGATAGAAATCTGACCCAGCTTCTCCATCTGACTTGATTAGAGGTTGAGTTCTACAATGGCTTGAGAATAAACAGCAAGCATTTGTTTATGGAACTTCAGTTCAGTTTTAACCATCTCCTGGCCTAAAGAACCGAAGCTTGCTTCTTCAGTCAAATATGTTACTACACAATCATTGCCTACCATGGGGCAGTCTGCTCTAAAGCCCTTATGCTCCTCTCTAAGAATGTTCTATATTCAGCCCATGCAAGGAATTTATTGCTGAAGACTCTGGTAGGTCATTTCCCTGCAGTGAGCAGAGACAGAGAGGATGAGCCGGGTATTACCAATTATCTCTACTTTTGAAGATAAGGACTGTTGTGGTCTTTCCCCAGGTTGGGGCTCCTCCTCCAAGCTTCCTGACTGCCATTTTGATCCAGTGGTACAGATAGCTGAGTATCATGTTGAAATAAATTATCAGCGTTGTGAAAAAAAATCTTTAAAAATCATCTTCCCACATTTGTCTAGGGCTACAGAAGGAGAGGTAATCACAAAACGTCTGACAGCAGTTTGCCAAAATATATTAATATTCTTGTGTTAGGATGGCATTTATGGGAGGACATCTTCTTTTCCTTTAAACAAAGTTTGTTTTGCATTTTTGCTGATTTTGATAGACAACCCCACTTATCCCCTACTATTACGGACAGGGATATTACTTTCCCAGAGAACTGTGTGAATCATACAACAATTCTTCACTGACAAAGGTGTAAAGCTTTGATATGTCCATGTGCAAAGGTGAAAACAGGTCAAAAAGAAAAACGGCATCAGCCACACATATTTCTTTCATTGACTCAGTGGGGTAAGGAAGTATCTAATAAAAGAAAAAAGAGAAGACCAATGTTCTGTAGGTACAGTAGATGAGCAGATAATGATTCTTATTTTCAGTTAATGTTAGCATGCAACTACCATGCTATACTATATTCCACCAAAATTAATTACAGAATGTTTTTAATCACTGATGCTGGATTACTGCTCTACAACTGATTCTATAGTGTAAAACCATCAGAATCATTCAGACATTAAAGCCCCGTGTTTTAAGAGCATGTGCTTATGGCTCTAAATTCTTGAAAATTAAAGTGTAAATACAAATGATAAACCAAGAGAATGATCTGGAGAATGGCTTTTAATTGGATTAACAAAAGAGGTCTGCTAAAGCCTTGAAGAAGCCTTTGGGATGGGAAAAAGAATAACCGAAGAGACATCAAATCCTATGACAACATCTGAATGAATTAAAGATCAAGATTGTTAGAAGTAAAAGGAAGGAATATAAAGTTTGTTTGACCAAGGTTAACATAACACATGTTTCTATAAAGCTCTGGTAATCCTTTGCATACTTTTTGCTGACACCAGGACTGAAAAGTTGATGATTTATGGATTTGTATATGGATAAGGGATGGGTTATGGGAAGAAGAGATATGTGTTTGTAACCTTATGGGGGTGAAGAGTTATACTTGTTATGATGAAGATCGGAAGTCACTTCTTTATATATTTTTCTTTTTCTTTTTTCTCTTCTCTTTTTCTTTCTTTGCACTTTTTATTCTTTCTTTCTATTTCTCCTTCTCTCTCTGAGTTTAGTTTGTATTTGCTTTTACTAATTACAAAAGAGGGATTTCAGTCAGTCTCTTCTCAATAACTTAATCCTCTTCCACTGTCAGATAAATCTATAGTGAATTAATGGAGTCTTTTTAAGAGCTGTTGGCATCGAAGTTCAAAGGGTTCCAAATATTGGAAGGCTTGTCCACCATCGGCAGCATTGACAATTTGAACCAAAAGCATCAAAGTCTTCTTATGGAAAGACTTCAGCCACTTTTCACCAACTATTTGAACTAAGCTCTTTATCTTCCCCATGAAATGAAGAGGTTATCTCATAACACGAAAAGTTACTCTTTTACACCAAGCCTAAACACCTAGCAATCAGCCAGGGCAGATCCAAGCTCTTCAACTGCAGAAGAAATACACTTTTTTTTATTGTTCTAGAAGTTTAGGACAGTTGGCTTGCTATCAGTTTCAAGCTACCTGCACAGGAGTTTCCAGCTGATTATGCCAAAACTAGCCTTGGAAAACTTGTTCTCAAGGGCTGTGCATGCTGGGATATTGTAAACTGTATTAATATTCAGTGACCAGCGAAGTAGGCACTGGTATACCCCTTCCTTCCGAACCTGAATATCCTCCAAATGTGTTGGATACGGCCCTGAATTATCTGAATAAATTGCAGCAAACTGAATACCAACAGGAAGATTAACACTCTAATGCAGATGAAAGAGAGGTGAAAAGAAAGAGTCAGCCTTACTCTATTTCACTTAGGAACAGTAAGACTGAATTCAACATTAGTTCAACATTCGATTTCACCCACTTCAAGGAGAACGAATCAGTTTTAAAAAGCAAAGAAACCAAGATACCTGCATCCACTAACCCAAAACAACTATCTAAAGAAGGCAACAACTTTATTGATGAAGCTACACAAGGGGGGCCTTTTGTGCCTCCTGGGTGTGATGCTAAGGTGTTGTTTCAGCAGTCCCGCCGAAGATGCAGGAGCGCCGTGTCAGCCAACAAAGGGGGTCAGGAGGAACACGAGCTCTGGTCAGCTGCTCTGCATGGCACAGGGGTTTGCTGGGTTAGGAGGTAAAAGAGGGACCGTTACAATGGCTGTGGCTTGCTGTATCATCTGGGGAGCATTTGTGACCATGTCCCTTCAACATGGTTAAAGCGTAACTTGGTTTCATGTGCCACGTGCATATGCTCTCAGAATCTGCACAGTGCAAGACATTAAGTAGCCCGAAGTCCAAACAGTCCCAGTCTTCAATGCCCAGTCCTAGAAGATCCCTTCCAACTCATACCTCCTAGGATTCCACGCTACTAATCCTATTCCAAACCAAAGGTAGCAGTAAACACAAGGCTTTTGCATTTGGTGAGAATCTAGATCTTGTTTTACATTACAGCCTCTCTGTACCAAGGGATCCTGTGTGGGTGGCACGTATGTCTGGTCACGAGTCTAGCAGAGGCTGGATCTAGTCACTGAGTAGTCTACACATTGGTCTATATGTTCCACAGTCCATACGCTGCTCTCTCAATCCCCTAAGTGACCCCTAAGACAGGGACTGGGGGATTATCTTTCTACCCTAACATAGATCCAGTCCAGCAGCCACCAGCGCCACAGAAACCGAGCTCACTGCCGAAAACCAAATGCACCCAAGATACCAGTCCTCTCTCAACGTCTTGGCACCACAGAGAAGCGGATGCATGAATGGCTCAGGGGCACCAGACAGCACAGTGAAACAGAGGGCATACTGGGGACGTCAGCAGGAAGGGTGACTCCTGGGACATGCCTGCCCACCCATCTCCCTCCTTCCCTCCTTCTGCATAAGGATTTGAACAAATCTGAAGTACTACGTACAACACAAAGTGAGTGATAACCAAGAACATCAAATTCGCTAACCTGCGAGCTCTGTCTTTCCCGCTCCGCTGCTTCTTCTACGGCTTGAGCAATCTTCTCACGATCTCTGATTCTCTCTGCTTGCCATAATTCTTTTTCTTGGTCATGCAGTTTTTTCATGTTTTCTCTTTCTGCTGTTACTGCCGCTAGAACAGCAGCCTGCAAGTCCTCTTTCTCAATCTGCACATCAAATAACAAAGTCAGTGTGAGTCTCAATAAGAGGACTTCAGCGTTGTAGGTGAGTACCCCAAATGCTGTCTATGATCTCTAAACGTCAAAAGTTGGTTTGAAAAAAAGGCCCTCAAGTTTATTTAAGCTAATTCTGAAAACTGGATTAATTTTAGAAACTGAAAACGTTGTTCCAGTTTCCATCTCTTTTTTAAAACAGTTTTTCAGAAGTCCTCTGAACAGTGCCTTTGCAATGAACACTTCTGCTGTAAAAGCCAATGTAACAAATTACGAACATACGCCAAAGATTAGTTCCAACTACTGGGTTGCAAAAACTATATTCTCTGTTCGTACAGTGTGAGATTCTTTTCTTTCTACCCACCAAATAACAGGGTAGGGACACAACTACTGGTCGCTATAGGATAAGGCCAAATGAAAAGTAGGGCACTTCTTTCCTCATCTCACTTTCTCACCTATAGTACATAAAAGGAGAAATGATGCCAGAAAGACAGGAGGTTACATCAGGATCAGAAAGTGTCGAAGGAGAAATAAAAATAAAGTAAAATTTAACAAAAATGGCACAAAGCGATTGATAATAAAGCTCAGCCTTGATAGATTTCTCAAAATAACTTCTCAAAATATCCACCAGATAAAGCTTTCCGGGGTGGACACCAACCATCTAAAGTTCTCAGTGGTTATTACAATGACTGAATGGGAATAAAAGAAGTTTTCACTTGTTTCCAGCACTTTTTTTTAGATCTGATGTGGTTTGTTAAGATCGTGGATACCAAGAAGAATAAGGACTCAGCAGGACAATCAAAAAGTCCCTTTCATTAACAACTCCAGATTTCAGATATTTACTTGGTACAATACTATCTGCTTCTCCTCCTTGAAATCAAAAGCAACCCTATGAAATGGAGTTCAAAAGGCATCCCAGGGACAATTTCTGCATGCTAAGGTACCTTTGCAGCCGCTGCCAAAGCCTCCTTATTACGTTCCCTTTCACTCTCCATACAGTTTTCCAACATTTCCTAGAAATACAATACAGTAAAAAGTTATTACAGCTTGTAAAGGTATCTTCCAAAGCATGGGCATCCACAGAACCCAGAGGTCTTGCCAAAATGATGAAATGTGCATCATGACATCATGATGCAGGTTCTGCCCCTTCCCTTCTTGTCTGTGACATCACAACACAACTACAAAAGAGGCAGAGCCTGTGTTGCAACACACATTTCATCTTTGTTCATTCTTTTGCTTCTCTCACAAGCATGTTCCAGAGAACTTAGCTTGCATTTTCTTTCTAGAACATCTAAGTCTTCTTAAGAAGACACTCCATCAATTCCATACAGTAAACCCAGAGCTGAGCATGTCCGGCCAACCAGCTGCTGGAGCAGAATTTGGAGTTAGTATCTACGATGCTCAAATCAGAAGTCAGCTGAAGGGAGAGGGACAGAACCCATTTGCAGTCTAGTGATGAACCAGTACAGGAAAATGAAGTTCAGTCCCTTCCCCTGATGAGCCAGAACTAGAAAAAGTCCCCCTAGAAAATATTCTGGATGCTGTTTCAGAATTTTATATTGAAGAATGATACACCCAGCTATCCTGCCACAGAGTGTTATCTTCAGACCCACAAGAGGCGAGATCACAATAAATGTTTGCTTTAATGCTTATTTTATTAACACTTTACTCCAATTTTATATGTAAGCTATTTTTTGAAGGCCCTCTGCCCTAAAAAGTTGCCTAGAAATAGTTTATATCAATTAAAAAGTTATATAAGGAAATAATGATTGACAAGGTGAGATTATCCTGCAGCGGTGGTCATGCAAACCATTCCCTCCTTTGTTCTTAAAAAGAAAACCAAAATGAAAGAAAAAAGGAATAAAATATAAAGGTGCAAAACTTCTTAATGGTGGAAATAAATTACACCACGTCAGCTTTTACAACTGCCTCTTAACTGCTACATCGCTACTTCTTCTCTTAGATAAATCCAACCTGGGGATGTCTACTTTCGCCCTTGAACCCTCTTCATGGTTCAAGGCCTCCTGCCTAGATGTGGTGTCTTCCTGAAAGAAAAGACGGTTTAATCTCTGAAGGACTCTTCTTCGTTCTCAATGATACCTCATTTTTAATGGTGAAAGAGCTGCAGACCTTAGATATGGAAAGTACCTTATATTCCTGCGACTGCTGCAACAAGGATTCTTTCGTTTTTTCTTCTAAGATTTTCTGCTCCTTTTCCAACATATCAAGCAGCCTTTGATGCTAAAGGAAGGAAGGAAGGAAGGAAGGAAGGAAGGAAGGAAGGAAGGAAGGAAGGAAGGAAGGAAGGAAGGAAGGAAGGAAGGAAGATTACATTTATATAATTGACAAACAGCAAATAAAAGCAACTTCTGTGTTCTTCAAAGTTTATAACTGGTTATATTTATGGGCATCCATTGGGGTGGCAGTGGGGGAAGTAACATCACACATGTCATGGTATCATCAGGCAGATGGCAACATGAAGTGTGTGATGTCATTGTGGCTCGTACTGAGATGTCTATGGACATATTACCTGGTTAGATAGAATATACTTGAAAAGCACAGTAGAATCTTTGATGTGCAGTTTCCTCAAGGAACTGTTCTCTAGCCTGCATGCCATCCTCAAGAAGGCCATCATGATTCAGATAACAGTAGGAGGAAGGGGGTTTGGAAGTCAAATAGAGTCTTTGGGGAGATTTGGGTGAGGACAGACTCAGAGATTGGGAATGAGCTTTAAAACAAAACAATATCCAGTGAGAATCATGGGCAATGATCCCCTAGACCCACTCAAAATCTTGGCAGCTGTCCTCTGAATCTACTGAAGCTCCCAAGCTTCAAAGGTAATCCTATCACAACTTCAAGTTGCAAAAATGGGTTTCTATTACATATGAAGATGCTCAGTCATCCAGGCGGAGTCTCTTCTTTTCAGCGGTAGTTCTGTGTGCAAGGAAATAGAGCTCTTTCCCTGAGGGATGACCTGAACAAAAAAACATCTAAGGTAAGTATGGATGGATGGGACAGGATGAGCGGGGACCAGACAGAAAGGAGGAGGGGATGGAAAAGATTCCACTCCTCTACCTACATGCCCTCTGGGGAGTCATGATCTCACATATGTTCTTATTCCCAAACAGGACAGAAACAAGAGTCCACAAACATGGTCATCCCCAGGGTTTGCCCCAAGACAAGCAATGCAGATATTGCCACAGCCAACACATCTCTGACAATTACAACTGAAGAGAATATCTGACTTCAGAATGTTAAGAAAAACAGGATGATTCCTAATTAGGAAAAAAAGCAACTTATCATTTTTAATCATGAAAACAGCCATTACAATAACTAACATATGGATCTTTTCAAACAGAAATTTACATCAGTATACATAACAAGTTCCATCTGCATGTCTCCTCAGGATGGACGAAAAAGAGAAAGGATGGTTGGTCCTAAGATGGATAAACTGTTTGAAGAACAGAGGTACCACACAAGGTACTTTTCATGACTTCCTGGCTATGTTCCACAGAATAATTTATGTAAGATTTCACTGAACAGATTTATAGCTCATGTCCTTCAAGAACAAACACTCTTGTTCAGGCCAAATTGCCCAAACAATTTATAAAATTATTTTGCCGTAGCCACTGCAGTTTTCATAAGATGAAACTCTGGGTTTAATTTCTAAAAAAAGAATTTCCTAAGGTTTGGCTTAAAAACCTATAAGGAGAAAGGGAAGAGTTTATGTAATGTATTGTAATGCTTCAACATGGATAGATAGTGACTAAAATAATTCAAACTCCTTATTCTATTTAACACATGTATAACAAGAACTAGCCATATGTTTGTTTGAAAAACAGACAGAATTTCTTCCAGGGAAGAAATGGTGGACTGAAGATGGTGCTGCAAAAAGCAGAGCTGACAACCGTGGCAGAATGAAGAGCCGGCGAGCAGACCGGCTCTTCGATAATTCCTCTTCGGACAAGGAGAGGACTTGATATCACCCACAAGTGCTCCAGACAGCTGCTCCTCATGAGAAGACCCACAAGACAACAGTCTCTGGCAGGTTTAGAGCTCCGGGAGACGAGGGAATAACCATCTTTTTGCTCAAACCACAGTCAGCACCTTTGAAAGGGCACCGGGTTTGCATACTTCCTTTTCAGAAATCGCTTGTTAACTGCTTTTTGGCTATTAGGAATCTTTGGATTGACAAGTTTGACAGCATCGAGTGAGTTTCCTTTAATCCTTAGCAAAATAAAATTTTAATTATAAGCTTAAGAATTTTTTTTAAAAGTGGACATGTTTTGAATTTTTTCTACGACATAACAGAGATAAGCAATTTTAAAAATTGGACACTAGAGGGGAACTAAAGATTTTAATTAAAGGAGAAGAATAGAAATGCTAGTTGATTATCAGAATAGCTGATCATTTCAGAATAGTAAATATGACACC